AATAAATAATAATAAATAAAAAATAAATAATAAATGTTCTTATTTCAGTGCATATTATCTAATTATCTTATTTGAAGAGTAAAATATCTCTTTCCATTGGCAGATCATCTTATTAACCTACTCAAATTAGGAGTAAATATACTTAATTTTGAAGCTTTGATGCTCTGGATGTTCTTTTCTGTAGCTACACACTGCAAAAAAAATGAAATCTTAATAAGTGATTTTTTTTCTTAAAATAAGTGATTTTTTTTTTCTTGAATTAAGGAAGTAAGTGAGAAACTTTGCCAATGGAACAAGAGAATTTACATTTAAAATAAGAAAAAAATAATTATATTGTCTTACATCAAGTACGTATTATCTAATTATCTTATTTTAAGAGTAAAAATCCTCATTCCATTGGCAAATCATCTTATTTACCTGCTCAAATTAAGGGTAAATACACTTAATTTAAGACATTTTTACCCATTTTTAGATCATTTTTGCAGTGAAAGCTAGAGAGCAGCTTGTCTTTATTTACTTTGATGAGTTTGAAAAACAGTTTTTAACCAGTTTTAGGCAAAAAAAAGTCCAGCGCAAAACATCGTCTGTCAGTTGATCAGGATTAAGATCCTTCTAAAATATACAGCTCTTGTTTGGAGCTCAAGCATACCAGCGAGCCGCAGCGCTGGGAATCTTATATACGGTAAAAGCTATATATATATATGTATATATATATAAAGCTTTTAGTGTTTGCCTTTATAAAGCCAGAAAATACTGATAGGATTATGACTTCAGTTAACAGAAGTGCATGTCTGTGCCCTATGGGACTGCATTAACTCCCTGGAACAAAGTTTATTCCCCCAACTGTCGCTGTAACACTTCCAACATCTCTTTAACTCAAACCCAGAAGGCTTATAAGGCTGGCCTTATCTCCATGCCCAATGCTGCGCACACGGTCAGATTAAATTTTGTGCTGCGACGGAGATCACTCTGTTTTCTTCTTTAGTATTACCTAATGAAGCTGTTGCAGATGAGCGAGGTAGCTCGTGCCCTGTGACCATATACGGGGTTGTCCGTGTCAGAGGGGTGAAAAGGTCAGTAGCTCCTCACGGATTAGACTCTCCTCATGAACCTATTCCTCCTCACCAGATGTTTTCTGGCTCTGACATCAAATTGGAGAACTTCTATCTATTTATTTAATCTTTGTATTCTCTCTCTTTCACAAATAAACATCACGTTTTTTTCTAGATTTCTAGATACCATGTTATGTCAGAGACATGTAAAGTTATGTTTGCAGGTATGAAGTCATCAACTATACCCCTAACTCTAAAACATTCATCACTAGCGCTGATCTCTCCAACGTTATCCCTGTTCAAGTCTCTAAATAACTCAACCACCAATAACCTCCAGAGAAATGGTCTATTTCTAACCATGATTCTCAATTTCCACAGCAGGCAGTCAGGTTACCCTAAGGTCCCAGCTCTCCTTCACCATCC